CTCACCTCTTGCTTCATATTTAGAATCTTTAAAAAATTCAGTAAAGAAACCAGAAATAAATTTTACATCAAAACTTCGTCAGAATCAGATTATAAATTCTATATCTACATCTATAAAAGCCAGAATCAAAGAAGAATTAAAAGATGCCAAATTTTTTAGTGTATCTATGGACTCTACTTTTGACTTATCTCGAAAAGAGCAAATTTCTTTTATTGTTCGCTATGTCACAGCATGTGGAAATGTAAGTGAACGTCTTTTGGCACTTCACGATTCACCCATAACTACTGGTGAACAAATGTTTAAGATATTTGAATTAATTTGTAAAGAATTAAACTTAGATTGGATAAATTATTTAGTTGGCCAATCATATGACGGTGCTCAAAACATGAGAGGCCAATATAATGGACTGCAAACATTAATTAAAGAAAAATGTCCCACAGCAATTTTTGTTTGGTGCTGTGCACATAGGCTAAACTTAATAGTTTCAAAATTATTAAGTTGTAGTTTAGATCCAGTTGACCTTTTTGGAAATTTAGAAACTTTGTATAATTTCATTTGCGGTAGCAAAAAAAAAGTTGCCTATTATGAAGCCATGCAAAAAAATTGTTCTTTGAATAAACAAGGTCGTCGATTAAAAAGAGTATCTACAACACGATGGATGTCTCACAATTATGCACTAGAAGCAGTTCTAGAAACATTTGAACCTATTATTGACACTTTGCAACACACCAGAGACACTGAAGGGCGTGATGATCATGCTGTAGGGCATATGGCAGGGTGTTTAATGGACTACTTACTTTCAAAGCGATTTGTTATGTCTGCTATTTTTTTTCAAAAATTATTTAATATTTTAGCTCCACTTAATACATTACTTCAAAGTAAAGATTTAGATCTATTAGCTGCTGTTAATGGAATCGATGAAGCACAAAAAAAGTTAACCCAAGTAAGACAAAATGATAAAACATATGATAACTTAATTCATGAGGCTAATCATTTTATCAAAGAAAACAATCAGTTCATTTTTTCTGAACTTAAAATCAATCGCATCCGAAAAAAAAAGAAAATGTCTGGAGAGATGTCTAATGATGAACCAATTACAGATCCTGTTAATAAATTCAAATGTGACACATACTTTAAATGCTTGGATGTAACAATTACTTTTATTAATAATTATTTCAATGCTCAGGCAATTGGTATATATAAATATTTAGCACTTTTTTCAAAAAAAAGAATATTTGAAATAAAAAATAATCCATCAGCACTTCCTAAAGATGCTTTTCAAGAATTTTGTGCTGTGTATGGAAAATGTGTACAAAAAGATTTACTATGCAAAGAATATGCTCATTTTTGTCGAATTTTTCATTTATTTGAAACCTCTACATTCCTTCCTAATGAATTTCATTCTAGTAATGAACCTTTTGAAACTGAGTCAGACGAAGACGAAGATGAAGATTTGTCACAGAGAAAACAGATAAGCACATCTAATGAAAATAGTATAAAATATGTGTTTAAAATTTTCATGAATGGGCAGTTAGCTAGCATTTTTCCCACTTTAAATACAAGTCTTTTAATCGCATTAACTTTACCTGTGTCCAGTGCATCGACAGAAAGGTCGTTTTCAAAGTTAAAGATTTTAAAATCTAGACTACGAACAACTATGTCACAAACACGTTTGGAAGACTTATTGATAATTAGTTGTGAACGAGACATTGAACCAAACATAGAAAATGTAATACAACATTTTAAAGAACAATCGATAATCCTAACAAAGCATTTATAAATTAAAATAGTTTTTTTTTTGTTTTTAATAATAGCCCAAAAGTGGTTTCTTGTTATAAATTTCAGATGATACTATCATTTTAAATAAAAGATATAATGTATTATGTAATTATGTAATGTTCATTTAAAAAAATGTACCTACTATTTTATCTGTAGCTAGGTAGCTAAAATCTACATACCTAGACGGCTAGACACCTAGTATATTACTATATTAGTTTATAATACACTTAGAGTTCAAGAATATAGAGCATTGGTATACTCAATCTTTTTAAAGACATGAATCAAAATTAAAAATTATATTTTTTCGTGAAACATAAAATAATGTTATCTACATGTATAGGATGGATATTAGGATGTATTATGTATTGGTGACCCTAAATAATCAGCTAACAACTAATAAAGTGATTACGACACATCAGTTGAGGATAGCTAGTGTAGTGAATAATAAAATGTATTCACATTCTCACATACTTAGTACTTAATAGTTATAGTACATAATATACTCCGCACACATTAAGACATGACCAGTTAACATGTGAAAAAACCAGGTTAGAACGCGAACTGGTCATGATTTTAAAGTGGCAATGGGGAGTGTAATATATGTGAGGTGAATATATTTTAAAACCTAACATTTTTGTTATTACCAGTTGTAAAAAATTAAAAACCCCCATTAAAATGAACTTTAAATGTTGGTTGGTTAGAAAGTTTTTTTATGAAATGAGTAATTTTTTGGGTCACCAAAATAGGGGGGTGGTACTAGCTCCTTTTAGTGAGCACCTGTTATATTTTTCAAGATAGCCGCCACTGGGCCCCGCTCGATAATAGTTATTATTTCAGTTTAGTCGATTATTAATTATCATCCGTCGTTGTTTCGCCTGTCGTGTGCTTTTCACTAGTGTAGATTTTTATACGCAATAAGTTCGTAATCAAAATAAACCTAAAGTAATTGTTGAAATGCCGAAAGTACAAAAGTCAAAGTTACAAAGTTATGTTTCAGAATTTAAAGACACATTTTCATCTGACGGTAGTGTTTTGTTTTGTAAATTTTTTGGGGGCCATATCTTAATACATAGGTATACGGTTATATTTAGGTGCATATTTGGTCATTTTTTGGTGCATATTTAGGTATTTTTTAGAGCTACAAGTCCCTAAGCCCACTTATTAGAAAAGGGGCCCTCTTCTGTCTGGCCCGTCCGTCGTCCGATACTCCGATCGATCACATTACTCGTTGCACATAGCACATTACGCCGGTATACCGCACACGTCGCGCAGGCACTCCGGTGAAGTCTCTGATTAGTTGTCATAGTGAGGCCACGCCCATCGCCGCCCGTGTGAACGCCCGTACAGACCGGCAGCAGTAGTCGTCGCTCAATGACCTGGGCCGGCGGCCGTACGATAACCGTCCCCCCAACTCCCCACCTGTATACCTGCCTATGGCGATGACCGAAAAAAGTCGTCGGTCGATGACCCGGCCCGGCTGGCGTGCCACCCTTACGCCGTCCGTATGCCTGACTACAGTAAAGTGCCTAATGTGTTTACCGAGCAGCACTCTGCACGCGATCACTGGTCGCCTTGTATAATGTTTGAAAATAAAAACCTTGATTTCGGATAGCGACGGGATTCCCTGTAGGAAACGAGCGAGAACGGCGGCTGTACATTATCGGGATCAATCATAATCAGAGTCGACATTATTTATTTGAAAATTATTTTCGTAACCGTACGAATGTCGTACTCGACGTCGTCGAGCACGTTACCAACATTTCGTGTAACAATGATATTATTTGGCAAAAAAAAAAGTTGGTAGGTGCCGCCGTGATAAATCTTTATTTTTAAATATTATCCTAATGAACTATTGAACAATTTGAACTTGATACATTTTATTACGTTCATTGAAATCATAGATTGAGTTTAGCTAAAGAGTATCACTACAATCATTGACTGTTAGCCGAAATGTTCACTTTTACAGTTTCACTACCTAAGGCATGAAAATATATACTATACGTAGAAATAAATAATAATACGTATATAGTACCTACGCAGTATACAGGGTGTATCTTATGTCATTGTACGCGGGTTTTTTTGACGATTATGGAACGATGACATGGAATTTCGTTAAAATGCAAAAAGACATGTTTCTTTATTTTTAACAAGCAATTTTTTTATAATAATTTCAAAATTTTTAAACACGCAGGTGTACTAATAGCAAAATCAACTTTTTTTTTCAAATGGTAACCACTATATTTTTTAATGGATTCTGGTAAAGCTTTTTTTTCTGAACATTTTGGTAGTCGAAGCATCAATTTTGGTTCGCTAGTTAATTAACTATGGTCCTCCAAAGATTAGTAAAATATGCATTAATACTTTTAATTGAAATAATTAGTATAGGCTTAATTTGCAAGTACTAAACAATTTTTTCTTATAACTACCTTTTGATACACTACAATAGTTGAATCTGTAATTTAATGACACCCTCAAAAAAAATAACAAACAAAATTGTTTGTAAACAGTTCATTATTTTTATTTTAACATACGATCATCAAAATCAATATTATTATTTTAATTTATTATTATAATCGTAATTAATTACTTTACATTTTTTTCATCACAGTTATTTTTCTTAGAACATCATAAATTTGGATCCTTTATTATGTGGCTAAGGTTATAATGGTATGTGATTATTATAATAACGAAATTGGAGATAACATTGTGTAATTGGTCTAATTAACTCAGATTAAAGAACAATAATAAGTGCCATACCTATGGATGTTGACTATGTATGTAAATATTGTTTATTTTAAAATTTAAATATGATTAATTAACGTTGAACTGCAATAAATTAAAAACAAATATTTTTGTAAATGTATTACGTGTTTAAAAAAAATGTTCAAATCAAATGTTCAAATTGCATACCATTTACTTCTTGGCAGTAATATAACCGATCTTCAAATTCCTGACGAATATTTTGAAAATTATCACTAGTATATCACTAATATTGATTTTGATGATCGTATGTTAAAATAAAAATAATGAACTGTTTACAAACAATTTTGTTTGTTATTTTTTTTTGAGGGTGTCATTAAATTACAGATTCAACTATTGTAGTGTATCAAAAGGTAGTTATAAGAAAAAATTGTTTAGTACTTGCAAATTAAGCCTATACTAATTATTTCAATTAAAAGTATTAATGCATATTTTACTAATCTTTGGAGGACCATAGTTAATTAACTAGCGAACCAAAATTGATGATTCGACTACCAAAATGTTCAGAAAAAGAGCTTTACCAGAATCCATTAAAAAATATAGTGGTTACCATTTGAAAAAAAAAAGTTGATTTTGCTATTGGTACACCTGCGTGTTTAAAAATTTTGAAATTATTATAAAAAAATTGCTTGTTAAAAATAAAGAAACACATCTTTTTGCATTTTAACGAAATTCCATGTCATCGTTCCATAATCGTCAAAAAACCCCGCGTACAATGACATAAGATACACCCTGTATAGTACCTATATACTATATGGTTGAGCATACGTTTCAGAATCCTAGCAATGTCAACAACACATAGACATAATCAAGTAGGTAGTAATTTTGATAACATTACTTAAGTGAAAAATAATAATTTTTTGTCCAACAATTGAACTTAATAAGTTAATATACCTATTATATACAACGCGGTACGAAGTGCGGGCACCGCAGCGACGAGTCTACGCTCTTACCAACCACCACCACGGGTTACGACGACGCGACTTGGTCAACTCAACCACCGCGCCTCAAAGGCACTGCAAGGTAGGGACGGGAAGATAAGTCGCGTTGGACGAATATCGGTCGCCGGGCACCGTCTCTCTCTCTAACGTCGATCGTAGGGCGGACTACACGCCACCCGCCGATCGCCGAACAACCGGCTGCATTATTTATACAAAAACCGTTTGTTCTAAACAGTTAACCCAAGTTGTAACGAGTGACGGTTTACGCAATTAAAATCCCTGTTACGGGATTAAACCGGCAAGTTGTGGGCAATACTTTTTTCTTTCGAGTGTCACCCACCGCCTCCATCACTCCGACCTTGCGATTGGACTACCGCGACGATCAACACCGCCGTAGCCGCATCAAATTGACTCAAGTCACCTCAAGTCATCGCAAAGGTAAGAGTTTTCTTTTCAGGACGACACATCCCTCGGATTAATTGCTCATAATATAATATAGTATTAAGATATTTAACCAGGAGTGTGTTTCCTCGTTAGCTAGGATTCCTCGAGTTAGGATTACGTATTAGTTACCTATTCCAACACTAAAGGCAAAAACCGCGCGATCGAGAATAACTGTGATATGGGAAGCAGTTACATAACGTACCGGCACCGTGCCCAACGCTTACTTTTCATCTAACTGTAATTAGTAATTACTTACGAGCGCAGAGCAGCGCACACGCCATAACTCCGATACCGTGTACCACCGCCACCACCGCCGTCAGCCGCCGTCGCCACCAAAGCCGTGACCTAATAAAACTATGTTTGGAACTCGCCGCCGAAGCCGTCTTCGGCTGACCCATATCTACGCGATAGTCGGATAGTAGATACATCCATGCGTATTTTTAAATGTGCCCATAATATAATTTGTTCATTTATTATGTACGTTAGAGTAATCGATGGTTATATTTGGTTAATAATAATTATAATATAATATACCTCATGTAAAATAAATGTCTAAATCCAGAATAGTGAGGGTTAGTTTTGAAGCTTAGTCGTTCAATAAGTAACAATCTACAATAATTAAACCATAATTTGTACACAATTTCAAATTTAATAGTTCAAACATTTTATTTTTTCTTAGTGGCAAGATAGAAAAAAAACTTTATTACAATATCTTAATCTTAATGAGGGACATAATTTATTCAATATTGAAAAAACAAAAATCATAGAAAATTATCCTGTATTATTAATATGTTTTTTTTTTAATTCGTAATTTTTTTATGAGAGAAAAAAATAGTACTTAGCATATTTGTATATA